GGGGCTCGTTAATTATCGCCTCGAATTCCCGCGACGAGCGAATCGCGTCAGTCGGCTTTTAATCGAGTGAGCGACGGGGTGAACGCGCCGCGCCGCGCCGCGGACTGATTTATCGTCCGCGGGTCCGGGTAATCGCGACGTTTGACGACGCCCGTCGACAGGCGGCCCCGGCTACCGGCCGAAATTTTATCGACGATTTCGCCCGGGCGCACGCTTCCTATCGGATTTTCTGATTACCTCTCGGTAATTAAGCGCCGCGCCGGTGCAGGCCGGCCGACCGATCGATGGCCCGATCATCGGACCGTGAGTCCAGAATAAATGGGGATCGATTACGCGTGTAACCGGCGTTAATCACGGGAACCTGCGGAGCGAGGATATTTTTTTCGCCGGTTAAAAAGGCGACACCGAAACGCCGGATTTCGGGTGATTATTTAGGAGAGCGGCGCACTCGATCGCCTTAAAATATGTTCGGCACATCGTTCTCGACAGGTGGAACCGTCGCTCGAGTTTCTGAGATACGGGGAATGAAGGGATTATTATATCTTGAGGGCCGTGTTTTAATTAACCCTTCATTCGACTATAATAAATTGTATAGCGAATCGTGTATTACGAATTGCATGATTATAGTTAATAATTGTAAACTCTGGGTATTATTTAATTATTGCTAATTTAGTTTTAACTCGAGTCTTGGAACATTGCTCGATATTAAGTATGCAACGTTAGAAATATGTATCTATACACATATAAATACTTAACCCTTCGCACTCGGATGTTTTTCATTAAAAATATTCTAGGATTTCCTGATGAGATAGAAAGGATATTTTGTGAAACTAACTCGACGAGAAATCATACACTGAAGAACAAAGCTATTTTGTTCGAATATTCCTCAAATTTTGACAGTCCACTTTGACTCTCGTTTCCTAAATAATTGCCGGATTTCGCATCCACGGTCGTTCCGATCCTCGCTCCCAATTTCCACGGGTTTATTACACAAAGCCGATGCTCCGCGGTCGCACGATAAACCGCGACGTTACGTTTACAGTAATAACAAAACGCGTAATGCCTTGTAACTCGAGCGAGAGAGGCTAAATGAGCAGGTGTCGCTTCGTACGAGCCTGCAATTTTCCTCTCGGCTCTTTAATAATTGCACGCGGCGCAACGAGTTGCGTAATTGATCCATTTGAAATACCATTATCATCCGTCGAGCCTCTTTTCTCGTGCTCTTTTCCCGTGCAATCGGAACCACCGCAACGGCGACTCTCGTAAACCTTTACAATTCCGAAGCGCCATTCCTTTCCATTCCGTCGTATAACGCGTTTCCCCGCTCGCCGCGGTTTCTCTTTCCATTCGTTAATCGCGAACACGCGCGGGAATCGTTCATTATTTTGTGCACGCTCGATTTCTGCTGGATACGGACAGCTACCTACAGAACCAACGACGTCGTTCGTTGTAATAAAATGAAACCAATTTGCTCGAGAAACACGAGTCCTCTGTACAATACAGAATTAGCACAAGTTCGGATAAAAACGAAGATATATCGTTGAAATGATTCGAAAATCGTACAGTATCTTTCCTACGGTCGCTTTCCATTGGAAGAGAGTTATCCGCAGAGACAAACAATTCAGTGAATCGTTCGTCGTAATAAAATACAACTAATTAGACAAAATTAACGGAACGCGAATGCTCTGTAAAGTCTAGAGTCGACGCGTGTTCCCGGGGAAATAAAGATGCCGTGCAAAGGTGATTCGTTCGAGTTTAATTTTCAACGATTTCCCTTTTCCACGGCTTTCCGCCGTACGCGTGGCTATCGGGATGATCGATATCGTCCCGCGAGAGGCGATATATCTCCGGCGAGCGTCTAAGGGCGCCTTCGCAGCGGCGCGGCATAGGAAGCGGCGCGCGTGGCATGATACGCGATGATTAGGCAGCGAAACTCCACGGGCTATTTGTTAGTATAATAAGCCGTCCGACAGTGTGGCCAACGTAACCACTCGTCGGCACGCCACTCCGTTTTAACGTAATTGTCCCAGATCGAGATTTACATACTTGAACGGAGATTCGGCGGCCGGGAGGCGGGGAAATTGCGGAATGCCATGAACGGATCCACGCTGGACACTGAACATCGCGCGGAATGTTAACGTTAATAAATCGTCCGAATCGCACGTGTCCGATGTACAGTTTCGTGTTGACTATTTCTTTACTCGCCGCGGGCGGTCGTTACAAAGATCGTACGACAGTACGAAACAGCATGAAAACGATTTCTTCCATGTATCGCGCGACCTTACCTATCGATTCGAACTCAACCGTGACATTGTGACTTCTAGAGGCACAGAGAATTTAGGCTGACTGTGCGTAGTCACGGAACGCGGTGTATTTCGAGTTCAACCAGGGGTAGGTTGAAACCTAAATTCAAACATCTCGAAGTTCGAAACGCTCTTGTTTCTTCCGGTTGTCGAGCGACCGATCCCCAAATTCGCCGCAATCTATCACGCGTGCGAGCCAGACGATCTGGACCGCGAACAACCAACAACCCGGAGCATACGAATCACGCGGACTGACGATCCCATTTTCCTTTCTTTGCAGAACGAAGTGGAAGAGGCAGACGATCACGAGCTTCGAGATAATAGAGAACAATTTCGCGGTGGCCGCGTTCCAGCAGCTGTACGGCAGCGGCGCTGCGGCGGTTCCCGCGCATCCCGCGGGACGCTACTGGCAGTACCCCAGCGCGCACGCGTTGCCGGCCAACGGGCTCTTCTATCAGCAAACGTCGGCGGCGGTGACCCTGCAGAAACCGTTGCCGTTCAGACTGTACCCGCCCACGATGATCCTAGCTCCCGGGCCCAGCAACCCTCTGGGCTCCCTAACGGCGAGCTCCAGCCTGTCGAACTTGAGCAACTACTACAGAGACAGCCCGGAGATGGTGGACGGCAGGGACAGAGAGACGATGGAGCGATCGTCCAGGCAGCGCGACAGAAGCGGAAGTCCAGTGCTGACGGACAGATCGCCGCTGCGGAAAGACGAGAGACTGTACGCGCCGTCGATGGTCCAGCCGGGGTCCAGCAACAGCTTAGGCACGCTCACCAGCAGCAACCTGAACAACTACTACAGAGACAGCCCGGAAGTAGCGGACAGAGAGAGGGAGGGCAGAGGACTCAGACAGAGAGACAGGAGCAAGAGTCCCGTGCTACGGGACAGATCATCCCCCGCGCGCAAGGATGACAAGCTCTACCCGCCCACGATGCTGCAGGCGGGACCTAGCAACACTATCGGCTCGCTAGCGGCGAACCTGAGCAACTACTACAGAGACAGTCCAGAGGAACGAGAGAACAGAGGGCGCAGACAGAGAGACAGGAGCAAGAGTCCCGTGCTAAGAGACAGATCATCCCCTATGCGCAAGGATGACAGGCTCTACCCGGCCACGATGCTGCAGCCGGGGCCTAGCAACACTATCGGATCCCTCGCGTCGAATCTGAGCAATTATTACAGAGACAGCCCCGACATGATCGACGGGAGGGAGAACATGAGCAGTAGTCGCGACAGATCGCCCTTGCGGAGGGAGGACAGCCCGCAGAGCATAAGAGCGGACAGCGACGAGGAAAGTATACACGATATCTAGGAGACGTCTGTCCAGAGATCCTCGGATCGCTCAGAGATCGAAGATTGAAGGCTGACGCTTCGGAGGGGAACTCCGAGACCGGTTCCGCCGAGGAACTGTGAAACGCGTGGAGTATATCGAACGAGGGACAATGTTTTCGGTGTCTTTCGTCGCGGCTAGGTCAGAGGACTTTCTCTACCGAAGGATACCTTCCGTACGAATGGAGAGTCGAGGGAGGAGCACACGGGGAATCGTTCGTGCCCCGCGCGCGTTGCGAAACGCCCGATTTCGTGAGGTGGAACGGCGGAAGTGACATGGCGCGGGACATCCGGGATCTCGTGGATAATGAGAGCGCGCGGAGGAAGCGTGGTGCGGTTAACCAAAGTTCGCGATTCGAACGTTTAGTGAATGGGGTAACGGTGAATGCAGTATCCCTGCTCGACGGAGTTACCGTGCCAATGGCATCTTCGATGCGTTCGTGGACGAACGGAACGGACGCTCTTCTTCCTGGACACATTGTTGCACGAGGGACCGCGGGGGAGACCGAGAAACTACGAAAAATCGCGTTGAAGCGCAGCTGCCTCGCGCGGCGCGGAATGAGAACCGTGCTCCGCTGGAAGGCGAGCGAAAACCATAGGTTAGGAGAGCCGGCTAGACGCGGCGTCTCGGGGACGGTTACGGTCGCGATGGCAGGAAGCGAGCCAATCGCGCTCGAACGCGAATCTACAATTAATATGACATTAGGGGGGACCTGCCTGCGGGGGAAGAAATCTGAAATGACACGAAATTACGCGCGGTCGCCCGGCAAAAAACGCCGGGGCAGGAAGGTCGGGGGCGGACGGCGGCGCAGGACTTTCGATCCCCGGGGAACGGGCCCGTACTATTCAAAGCAGCGTCTCGCGCGCTACGAACGAGCCGGCTAATCGGTATCGACGCGAACGTCTCACGAGATGTTCGGGGAACCCCGAATCAACGCGGAGTATTTCTGTCAGGGCTTATTACCGAACGCTCCTGTATTCGCATCGAATGCGAGCGCTGGGAATCCTGCCGGTTTTTACGAAGAAACTTCGAAGTTGATTCTGGTATTTTTCACTGAGATACGAGTGTTGTGAGAATACGTCGCGTTGATTCGGCGGATTCTCCGCGTCCGTTTGTAAATACGATTCCAACTGAAGTCCACGAGACTCGCGCGACGATCGTTTTCACGTCGACGCGACGAACGTTGTACATAGCAGCTACTTGAGCGGCGGTGGAGAGTTCAACTTATCGGGGAAACGCTTCTGAAACGCGAGCCATCCGCGGTAACGAGACATTTCGAAGTATTTTTCAGATTCCAGTATACGTAGAAGATCGCGGGGAACGTGTTCGAACGGTCGGAGCTTCGGATCCTCCGATCCGGGATCTCTTTCCCGATGATTCCTCGGGAAATGTGTCGATCCGGTTCCGTTGCGCGGACACGGGAGTCCGCGTTCGGCGATGAAATACCAGTATTATGAATGTATAAATCTTAGACTGTACGATGGGAAGAGAGAGAGGGAGAGAGTGAGATCGAGAGTGAGATTGAGAGAGGAAGAGTGAAGGATGCAGGTGTACGAGAGGCAGTAAACGGAAACATTAGAGAAACGACGGCGCTCGTTGTAAAATCGTTCATCGGGACGCGATCGGGTCTCACGGTGTAACGCGCGACTTAACGTTAAGGTAAAAATGCAGCAACAAGTACATAGTATAAATCATGCTTTGTAAAATAATGTCTGTATAGCGAGAATTATTATATGGAAAATATATTATACTAAATTTAAAGAGCGTAGGCTTCTCATTCCTCCTAATGGTCCCATCGAGTTTCCGCATCGTTAACCAACGGAGCCGGGTCCTTTCTATTTTCCTTGTCTTTCACCTTTTCCATTCGGTTTTCTTGCTCCTTTTCGTAACGAGTTCGTTAACGATAATAGACGACGATGCGATCAGCAATGTGGCAAGAAACGTTCCGGATTGCTCGACTGCGCGCGGCTAATTCGCAACGAGGAAGATCCACCGAATTTCATTACGGCGCCCATTATATTTATTTTTCCGTGGGCGTAAAGCTTAATTGAATATACCACGAATTACCACTTTCATCTCGGCGATGTTAATCGCCGGGCCGGAAACGAACCGGCGCCGATTGCGATCGACGTGTGTTTTCGTTCTCCGCAAATGAAGAGAGGAAAGTTATCCTCTTCTCGATCGCCGAATCGGTTCCTCGGTTTCTCTCGGAGCGTTCCCGCCCTTCTCGTTCGCAGCCATCGATCCCCTATCTCGCGCGGCGTAACGCGCGAATTAGCCTTCAAACGACAGACTCGAGTCGTTTTTCACGCGACGATGCATACCGCGAGACTTTTACGATCGAGTTAATGCCCGCGCCGGGGAATCGGGTCTGCACGGTGTTCCTTCTATTTGCATTTCTATCCGCGCGCACGACGCTCGAACGGGAGCCGTTCGGATTATAGAGGATAGCCGATACTTTCACGGTTCGCGTTTCTAATGCCCCGTAACGGATCGCCGTAGGATCCAGCGAACGCGAAAAACAAAGCGAAACTCTGCTCGCATTGAACGTTCGTACGTTGTCGTTTGAAACTTGGAGATTTCGTTGAATCAAATAATAAACCCTTCTATGATCTTCGAGTTTTCAATTAATTACTTCGTCGTTAATAATACACTGGGTACAAAGAGTTCCATGTTCAGCTGTATCCCAGTTCACGTCAGAACGATTGATAATAGAATATTAACCCTTTGACGAAGATTCTTTGAAATACATGAAATCTTCAGCAGACGAAGCTAAACTATATATCTGTTAAATGATAGGAAAACAGGAACTATACGCTGATTTCCCGGTGTTCGAGTAATTAAATCATTCGCTCGCGACTTAGTCTTCGAAACATGAACACTTCATCTTGCCGATATGTCGACGTTCGTCCGCAAAGGGTTAACACTCGGATTACAAAAGAATTGGAAGACGTTTATGTTCCTCAACGCGTGTTCGAGGTTTCGCAATTCCGTTCGCGCGAGCGAAGCTTAACAAATAAGAATTTTAAATAAGAAACGTCCAGTCACACGCGTGTTAATAAATCACGGGACGTAAGTTCAAGGTTCCGTTCGTATTTTTCGAAGGAGCCATCGATCTTCGAGGAACAAGTCATCAAGTACGTTCGAGTTACAGCGGCGAGGTTGACGAAGCTTCGTTCCCGACTCGCGTGAACGAATAAACGAACGGTTATTACACGGGACAGGCCGCCACGGCTGTCCCGGCTCCGTTACCCGGCGAAATTCGGAGCACCGGCCGTAATTTGCGAAGGCCTCGGGTCCCGGAGTCGCCGCGAAGGCAAAACCCGGGGAGCGTGACAGCGTGCTCGGGGCTTAATCGCGTTTGCTTATTTCCGGCGTTGGTCAGCCGACGCTGCAATTATGTAGGAGCGAGTTGCGAGCGCTAACTGCCGAGCGCAAGGGCTTATTTTATTCCTATTAGGGTAAAACGGGTAGCCGGGAAGGAGGACGCGCGGCGCGTTCTCCTGTATCTCCCTCAATTACGTGAAATTAATTTGGGCCCCATTAGCGGTCGACCGCTGGACACGTCGTGTTAACGATTTTTCCCTACTGGCCCGATACACCCTTCGAAAACCACCGGTCATGCACGAGCAATTGGCAGCTACTCGAGAATCGTAATGGAATCTTGGAATTTCGTGGGTACGGAGCCAGGATTCGTCGAGAGTTTATAAGCGTTTCTTTCATTAATGTAAGTTATCGAAACGAACCGTGACGTAGACATTGTAGTCGTTCCCCGGAAATTGAAATTTTCAATGTATAAAATTTTGAATGTATAAAGTTGCATAGAAAGTAATCTGTGAATCTGGATTCGTGTTCGCAAGATTCGCTACAGTCACGTCCTTATGATTCTTCCGAGCGCAGAGAATAATTATTCAAACAAATCGCAACGTAATTCCGGTAATTCCTCTAGAATCGAAGCGTATCTATGCGATCCTGAAGTTTCCTGGAATAAATGTGTGAACCAGGATGGATTCACCGCGAGCGAGTTTTCGATTCCTGTTCCGATTGTTGTTCCGAGCGCAGGAAGTATCCACCGAAACGAATCGCAGCGTAGAAACGTTTTCGACAGCGCGTTTCTCATAGGAAACGCGGAGAGGCCGTAGATTCCGTCGTGATAGTGCGTCGTGGGTAACGATCTTTCGGTGAAAGGGAATCACCCGGGATGAAAGCGGATATATTTATTGTTTCGCGTTGCCTCTTTTACTTTCTACAGAACTGTTGCTGAACCGGCCGCGTGCGTGCACCGAACGAACTTAAGAACGAACGAACGAACGAACGAACGAACGAACGAGCGTCACTTCCGTGGGACAGCGGCGGATCGCAGCGCGTTAAATAATATCGCGTTCTTTAACGCGCGGCTCGTAAAATCTTTAAGAAGCGACGACCGGCTCTCGCTCTTTGCATAATTGCAGACCGTGGCCGCAGAACGGATGCGCTTATTAGTTGAATGCGGTAGGAAATCACAGTTTCATTTTTTTTCTTCCTCCGCGCGCGCTAGGGTTCCACGCGAAAGGTTCGTTTCCCGAAGGTGCACGCCCGATGGAAACCGAAGAAGAAGGGGGCCGAAGGGACCGGCCGAGGGAGGATGTGGTTAACCCACGGTCAAATCGTGCTTTTGCCGGGCTTCTGCATCCTGAAACTGACGGCGACAAAAGAGAATCACCGGAACAGAAGTACGCGCGCTCGTGCACTGCCCCCGCATCCTGTTCCGACGATCCCCGCGTCGCCCGACGCTCTTGATCGCGATCGAATCGCCTGCCATGATGTTTCGTCGATGTTCGCTTGGAACAATCACGAATCTCCAACCGACAATCTAATTTTACATTTTATATTTGAAATTAGTTTCAGATGGTTCAAAATCACCGATTCTTCGTCGAGAAATCCTTTTATAGTCAGAGAAATATGTATAGAAAAGATGCTTCCACGAGAAACTAAAGAATTACAAATCAGTTGCAATGAAGTTTCAAATATCTATGAAGTTTAAAATATCTACAAAAATTTCGAGGAATCGATTCAAAATACATTCTAGCGTTAACTACTAGGATATAATTCACTTTCATTCTACCAGCCGATCTATAAGAAAATGTGCTCAGTGAATTTTCAAAGTCTCCTCCACCATCCTGCTCGTTAATTCCCCTCGATTTCAATTTACATTCCTAGCGGCGGAGTCTCTTCCGCCTTCCAATAGCGAGTCCCCGCGATCGTGATACCGTGAACCGATAGTTTTCGAAATTCATTATCCGCGCACGGCAACCAGTGATTTCAGCGTAACCCGGTGAGCGAGTGCCGGCGTCCTCTCGAACAATATAACCCCGGCCCGGCGAAATTACATGATAATCGAACGCGTCGACGCGATCGTGTCCGATCGAAATTACCTCGGCCGCGAAGAAGGGGGGGGGGCGGCGCAGGGTGTTGCACCGGGACGAGCGGGCCCACGCGGCCCGGGTCAATCGATTACCGCGCCGCTATCTTAGGATTGACAATTTACAAGCTCACCGGGCCCGCAGACCGGCGACACCTACTTAATATTAATAACGCGTCCCGTGGAAACACCGAGCAGACGCGGAAAGCAATTAACGGTGAGCTTGAATAAAATGCAAATAACCGGCGGCGGCACGGCGTCGATTATCGACGCCCGGCAAATAAAGTTATTTCGTGGACGCCGCCGTCGTCGCTCGTGGCCGAAGAAACCGGACGGCGCGAGAAATGTCCAGGAGAAGGGAAACACCGGCGCTCACGACGACGACGACGACAAGCGGAGCAAAAGGGAGTAAAAAGAAGAAGACCAAGGAGGAGGAGGAGGTGGAGGAAGGGAAAAAAGGATGATCGAGGTGAGTAAGAGCGTATAATGTGTCCAAAAGGCACCTGCCTCTTTCGAGGCTCGCTATCTTCCCATCGAGTGGTCGCAAGAAAAGGAGCTAGACTCGAGTTAGCCGATGTTATCTCGTTCCGAGACCAGCGAACCACTTATATCGTTAATTGCTCCCACTTCCGGCCTCGCTGCCCCCCTCTCCCGTCGCCGTACTCCGCGTGCTCCCTTTCTTTCGCCATCTTCCGCCCTCGTCCGTTCGCCGCGCAACCCTCTCGCTCTTCCTTTCCCCACGGCGGCCGAGCCGCGCGCTGCGCTGCGCTGGTTTTGTCTGTTTCCCGGCCGATACGACGCGCCACGCGGCGCGCGTGTTCGAGGGCACGCATTATGCCTCCGTTAAACTTCGGGAACCCCGGCGCACGGAAGCTTATGCCCTTTTAAGCGGCCCCCGTGTAGGTACTAGCGCGGCAGGTAGGTGCGTTCAACCTGCCGCCGACGATGTAGTTAATCTCGCCTCTCCCTCTCGAAATTATTTGTTCGCCGCGTTATTTTGCCGGGAAAACGGCCGGTAATTGGACACCGGCAACAGGAAAATCCGCGTAACATCGCGTATAGATATGTCAGGTGTTTCGGGCCGGTTCGAAGGTGTTGGTCGTGTTGTTTCGCGCGGACGAACGTGTGCTGGTAGCGCGTACACGCAGACGAGCGAGCGAGACCGCGGAAACCGTAGGGGCGGCCGGCGTAATTAATTGAAGAATACCCAATGAACTTCTTGCGCGGCCGTGCTCGAGTGTAAAATCAGTATGGAGCGATGACGATTAAGCTTAATTTATTCCGGATTTTACGAGGGAACGTTAAACAGTTAACAAA